GAGATCTCTGAGGTCTTTTAGTCCAACCCAAACATATATTGATGTTGTGTTATAAATTCCTGGTGAAATAAATCAGAGACAGTATTTTTCATGTATTTTTTCTTGCCATCTGCTGACATTACATCCTGGTTTTTCTAGTTTAACAAGCTTATATGGGGGAAAAACAAACAAACAAACATCCTGGTCATGATGAAATCTTATTAATGGATTATTGGCACAGGGGATAAAAAAAAAAATAAATCAGCAATCCAATTTTTAAATTCTTGTCCATGTTACTATAACATCTAATATAATTTTGTTACAGCCACTGTTGTGTCACAAAAGTTTAAAGGATACTTGTTATGTGTACATTTAAGTGCATCTCCCTGTTTAATGAAAAGAAGTTGAACGCATAACTCTCCCAATGTAACCAGTGACATTTAAAATAATTCAGCTTCAGCTCAGTTATGTGCTATTATTACTAGCATAAGAAACATAAGTTAAAGGGTATGGGCATTATATAATTCTAAAAAAATATAGGTCTGTTGTTATTTCAAGGTATTAACCTGACATTCACTATATATCTAGATATTTCAGCTGTACTGGATACACTTCAGTAAAATGTTTTACAGCCATACATCCCTAGGCCTTTTATGTTTTTATGAATTGTTGTTCTTCCTAGACTTTTGCTATTTTAAATATTTAGATTCTTTCAGGACCATAGAATATACAGCATGCATATTTTCTATCTATTCAGTGAGTTCTGAACAGGACTTTTTAAAGAATTTTTTTATCCAATCTTCAATAATTTACAAGTAATTCAAGATGGCGAACATACACAATTCCATCCTCCTCCTATTTTCCCCACAACAAGCACCCTTGTCAGGTGGATTGGATTGAGAGACACTGACTAGACCCAAAGTCAACTCATCAGGTTGGCATTCATGCCTAAAGTGGGACCATAATCTGTTATAATGATGAGAATAAGTGATAGAATGCAGGTAGGATGACTAATGTTATCTAATTCATGTCTATAGAGAAGTATAATATAGAGAAGTATAAAGGGTGGAAATGTCGTGCGTCTTATACACTAAAAATGGCCATTTTTGGCCTCCCGAAACCCTGCCCCGCGCGTCCCGTTTTTGCCAAATACAGGCCTGCTTTTTGCAAAAACGGGGTGCACAGAGGGTTTGAGATGCATGCAGAGTACTCCTGGGGGCTGGGGAGGACAAAAACTGGATCCGGGGGTGGGGGATGGGAGGCCAAAAACGGCCCCATTTTTCACAAAAATGAGATGCACAGAGAGTTTGGGAGGGCTGCAGAATGCTCCTGGGGGCTGGGGAGGGTAAAAATGGGATGCGTGGGGGGGTTTGGGAGGCCAAAAATGGCCCCGTTTTTCACAAAAATGGCATGCACAAAGAGTTTGGGAGGGCTGCAGAGTGCTCCTGGGGGCTGGGGAGGCAAAAAACGGACACACGGAGGCCAGAAACTATATATTTTTTCTTGTTTCCTCTTCAAAATCTTGGTGCATCATACACGCTGGTGCGTCTTATAGTTCAGTATTTGAAAAAAAAATTCACTCTTTTAGAAATATTCAGTAGATAATATTCTGTTGATGTGGCTTTGTTTTAGAGTACGAAGGATCTGGAACAGACATTCATAGAAAACATTCCAAATGTGGAGTTTGCAAATACAGAGCGGAGTGTGATGAAGATGCAGAAAATGTTGGGTAAGCGACTTTTCCCAAAGGCACAAGCTACCTTCACTCATTAATT